TGCGGCCGCTTTTCGTTCTGCTTTGGGGAGGGGGCGGAGCTGGGAGGAGGAGGGGAGGGGCTGCGAGGAAGGGTTAACCCCTTGAGGGTGGGTGGGTGGGGATGCCGCCCTTCTCCCGCCCAGGGAAAGCATCCACCAGGAGTTTTCTTCTTTCCGATTAAACAAGAGTTGGGAAGGGGCATTCGGAGGTCATCTAGCCCAACCCCAGCCCCGCACAAGGAAGGTTCCCATCCCCACCTCACCCCCGCCTGTCCTTTCCACCAGCCCCGCCCTGCCTGGCCTTTGTGCCAGCTTCCACAGCCGCGCCTTTTCCTCCCCGGAGTCATCCTTTGTGAGATGACTTCCACTACAACGCCCATCAGCCCCAGCCACGGAAGCAGAAGGAAAAACCAGGGCTGCGGGCTTCCCCCCCCCCCCACCCGCCACTTAAACCCACCCTTGGCTTCCCACCCGGAAGGAAAACAGCTTCCTTTCCTCCTCTCCCACCACCACCAGTTCTATCTCCGGATTGAAGCCTGCAAAGCCTCAAGCGATGGGAATGTGTCAAATCAGGCGTTTAGTGGAACGTGGGAACTCTCGAACGCAGCTCCGGAAGCTGGAAGCTGGGCTAGGCAGTTTCCTTAGGGGCCGGCGAATGAAGAGCCTTTCAAGTTTTATTTTATGGAATAAAACAAACGATTTCTAAATGAAGGTTTTAATGTTATTCTCGGCCTCCCTGGCTCAGGCGGATATATCAACATGGTTTAATAATTGAATTGAATAATGTAATAAATAACGTGATAAATAAAAATATGGGCCGGTCACCCTCCACCCAACGACCCCCATCGGGCCCAAAACTTTGGTTGCTGATATGCTTTGCCCCATTCTGTGACCGTTCTAGCACACCGCTGTTAAGTGAATCACTGCAGTTGCTGAGCTAGTAACCCAGTTGTTAAATTAATCTGGTTCTCCACATTGAATTTGTTTTTTCGGTCACAAAAAGGGGAGCCCAGAACCCCGGGAACACGATTCAGTTGCCACGCGTTTGAATTTTGATCATGGGGACGATGTGGCGACGGTCGTTAAACGTGAAAAATGGACATAGGTGTGAAAATGGTCGTAAATCTCTTTTCCAGTTCCATTGTCGTTTGGGATGAGCGCTAAAAAAAATAGTTTTAAGTCAGCTTGTATAAATAAAAATAATAATGCTAAATGGAGAGGTGCTTTTCTCCGTCATAATCTTCCTCAATCTAAACCCCCCCCCCCNTCCTTCCTTCCTTCCTTCCTTCCTTCCTTCCTTCCTTCCTTTTTTCCTTCTTTCTTTCCTTCTTTCTTCTTTCCTTCTTTCTTTCTTTCCTTCCTTGCTATTCTATCTTTCTTTCCTTCCTTCCTTCCTTCTTTCCCCTGCACTTCCATAACCAGGTTTAAAGCTGGTTGATCCAGTGTCCGAACAGCCTCCTCTGCCTTGACGCCTCTCCTGCGTGCCCAAGAAAATCGTGGCCCCCTCCCTGCTTGCGAAGGGGGAGGACTCTCCACAACCGCCACCACCACCCCGTCTCTCTTGGACTCCCCGTCGGCCTCAGCCCCCAAACCGCCTTCAAGTGCATGACTGCTTTTCCCGACGTTTCTCTACGCTCGAGCGGAAGGACGCCGTTATGCCTCCCCCCCCCCACCAGCCCCACGCCTTGACTCTTCGGAAGTACAGCGGCCGCCCACGCAGGGTGGACTTCCGTGCCGTGCCATGTCCTGCAGGATGGCGGGTGTGCCCACGTGCCACTGGATCTGGGCGAAGGGGTGGCCGACCCCCACCGTGCTCCCCCTCTTTTGCCGTTCCTCCACAGTGTGATATAAAAGGCCTCGTACGGGCCACGGGGCGGGAAGAGGGCCTCCCCCTGGGGGGGCAGGAGGTTGGCAAGAGGACCCCCCTCCCGCCGGGGATCTTTGGGCACCGAGGACGACTATACACGGGTGGTGGAGTGAGGGTGAGGGAGGGTGTTGTTGTGTCCGGTGGGGAAGGTGTTGAAGGGGTGTAAGGCTTGCATACCCGTGATGGTGCTGGGAATCATGGTTATGGTGTTTGGGGTCATCAGGGGCACATCGTCGGGCGCCCGGCGAAGGGCCAGGGTGTAGTCGGGAGGGCAGGCGGGGCGTAGGATTTCATGCGGTCGCAAGGGCTCCAGATCGTGCGCGTCATGCTCCAAATGTTTGATCTGCAGAGACATGATCTCTTCCTCCTGGCCGCCATGTACCAGGTCGTTGGCGGCGCTGCGCTGGGGACTCAGCCGCCGTCCGCTCCGCAGCTCGTGGCGCTTGTCCCGCTTATAGTAGAGGGCGGCGAAGGCCAGGATGTTGAGGAAGAGCAGGGAGGCGCCCACCGCCACCGTCACGCTCAGTTCGGTGGAGTAGTCCCGCGTGTCTCCCGGGAAGGGCACGTACCGCGGCGGGCGGGCCACGTCGTCTTCGTCCGGAGGGAGCGTGGCGATGGGCTGGCGCGTTGTGCTTGGGCCCACCCGGGTGCTGGGCCAGCGGGTGACGTAAGGGGGCACCCGGGTGGTGGTGGAGGTGTAGGGGGGCTCGTGGAGGTTGTGGAGGTGAGGCACCAGCTCCAGCCAGAAGGCCACCTTGTTGGCGCGATAGTTGTCCCGGACGCGGGGTTTCAAACCGATGTGCAGGTACTGCTTGTCCTTGGTGTTGAATTTGGTCCACACCACCTCCTCGAAGCGGTTCGGCTTGGTGTGGATGAACTTGGTGTCCTGCGGCACGGGCTGGTTGGGGTCCCTGTGGGGCGGAGGGGGGGAGAGGGAGAAAGAAAGAGAAATGGGTGGAAACGAATCAAGGAGAGGAACAGCCTAGAACCAAAGAGTCTCTTAGCCTGGGGGGTGAAATTCTACACCCCTCAGAGAGGGTCTGCAACTTGGTGTCCTCCTGGATTCGCAGCTGACACTAGAACACCATTTGTCGGCTGTGACCAAGGGGGCCTTTGCCCAGGTTCGCCTGGTGCACCAGTTGCGGCCCTATCTGGACCGGGAGACACTTCCGATGGTCACTCACGCCCTCGTCACCTCCAAGCTCGATTACTGTAACACGCTCTACATGGGGCTGCCCTTGAAAAGTGTTCGGAGACTACAGTTAGTCCAGAACGCGGCCGCGCGAGAGATTTTGGGTGTCCCTCGATACACCCATGTTACTCCTATCCTCCGCGAGCTGCACTGGCTACCGATCAGTCTCCGTACACACTTCCAGGTCCTGGTCATCACCTTTAAACCCCTACATGGCTTGGGACCTGGATATCTGAGAGACCGCCTCCTGCCACATACCTCCCAACGGCCGATAAGAACGCACAAACTGGGCCTTCTCCGGGTGCCATCGACCGGACAATGCTGTCTGGTGGCCCCTCGGAGGAGGGCCTTCTCTGTAGCTGCTCCGACCCTGTGGAACGACCTACCCGT